TTAATAACGTTTTCATACCATTCTCATATCTATACTGAAAAGCAATCATTTGTCACAATGTGTACTAAGCTAAGCATAACATTCGTAAAAAAATAATACACAATATTCAAAATTATTTTTTACGCAATTTTGTTCTACCCATGTATCATGGTTCTACCAAACCACATATTTTTTTGTTATAACCAAATTTAATGCGAACGCGCTATGTCGGAGAAGAAGTTTAATATGTCCTGTATATTGAATTCCAAAGTAATCATCGCACCCGCATAGCATTTTTGTATGCGTTCTTCCAAGAAATTATATTGCGCAATAAATTCCTCTTGCATGGCATGCCAAACCACCTGCAGTAGATTTTCCTCTTCGCAAAGGTGCTTTTCAACTTTTTTGTACAGATTTTCTAGTCCCTTTTTAACTTCACGCGCCGGGTATTGACTGATAACTTTACGCAATTCTTGCTTTGAAAAAGCCATTTGATAACTTATCTCTGTTTCTTTAACGCCTTGTGCGACTTTTTGTTGCACACCCTCGAAAAAGAGCTGGAAATAAAAAAACATATATTTATGTATTTCGAATACCATTGTGTTGGTATTAAAAATCCTTACATTCAACTTTTCCAATGGTCTGCCAAAGTATTGTATGACATATACTTTTAGCGCTTCATTATAACGCATTTTAGCTTCCTTTTTCAGTGCATCCAGACCGGGCACCTTTAATTGTGCCAGTAAGGAATACATGTGATGATAGTTTTCCATGCGTACCACTTGCGACGGTGTTTTAGGATGTTCCTGCGCATGCACGCTAATACTCTCAAATATTGAATTCACCAATTGTAAATACCACTTTTCCATATCAGTGCGGCGATCAGATTTGCGAAATATGCCTTCAGATGTCTGAGCGAAATACTCAAAATTCTCTACATATGGCAGTATACCACACTTGGAACGTTTAGGCACTTTTGCTTCTTTAATCGATTGTAATTGTTGTTGCATAAATCGATCGAAATTTCGCTTGACTTGAACCAGTGCTGAAGCGAAGGTCATACTAAGGAAGGAATGTGTATCCTGCGCGGACATGACATGCTGCGTTAGGCGGACAAGCACGTAAAGTGAATAGCTAGGTTATTGTTAAATAAAATAAGAATTAAATATTAATAAGAATTTAGCTAAAATCAAAGCACATGAATTACACTTACAAACTATCGATGCGTTCGAAGCTTTGTATGAAGCTCACCAGTTCTGGCTCTAAGCAGCCAAACAAGGCAATCATCAATTTACGAACCTCTTCGTTTATTTGACGATCAATTTTCTTTTGTGGAAAACCTGCACGTAAAAGCGAGACAATAACTACATTTACATAACGCAATAGAAATTTCCAACTCACCGCCAGCATCACCGCCACCACCTGCTGAAGTTGGAGAAGCTAAAATGCTTACAGAATCAGTACTTTTTTCTAATACCTCTAACGTTGTTTGGGTATTCTTCGATGTTGGGCTGATAACATCCATTTGGAAAAAATTTATACAAAACAATTGCTCTTGCAACGCAACTGGTTCTAACTCGGCTAGTACTTTTTCTAGTACTGAGTCGAAGCGCTCGCGATCCGCATTCTCCACGCCTGGGCTCCATTGGTCGCGGTTGACACCCAAGGTACCGTAAGGTGCCGCCGAAACAGCGGATTTTTTCGACGAAGATGACGTGTCCAAATCTTCACGCGATGTGCGTATTTTTTCCGATATTTGTAGTTTTGCCTGTAGGAAAAATTCTTAATTAGAAGTGAATTGCATAGAAATGTTGGCAGTGTTACCAAAGCAAAGAAATTTTTAATATCACGTTCGTAGATCTTGCTAAGCGAAGTTGTATAAACACGCGTTAGACCATCGTATGTCTTGCGATCCATTGCCTTTGTCCAATGCATAAGCTCTGTATAGGGCGTTAGTTCACGATGTACCGCTAGGTGATTCGGCAAAACGAGTTCTGTGCTCATTGTTGTATTATCACCCAATTCGTTTCCCAAATGTATGAATAGGTTGTTCATAAAACGACTAACAATACCAGAAAACTTTGCCTTCCATTTTTCAAAACGTTTGCGTTGATCTTGCACCGCTTCTAAACGCAACAAACTTGGATCGATATCGCTGTTCATTGCTTGTTGTAAGCTTTGTGCGGCCGCAATGGCAGCTTTTCTTCCCGTAACCGTTTTCAAATCCGGTTCATCGAGCGCTTGCTGATGTACTTGAGGTAGATCAAGCTGAGACTGAATAAATAAAACTTAGCTAGCTTGATAAATATGTTTATGGTTGCCACAGACTTACAATAACTTTGCTTAGTTCCTTCATCAATTTGATATTATTGTTGTTAGCAATTTCTATCATAGCATTTTTGCCGCCAATCTTTTCCATAGTTTCCTTCACATGTCCCAAAATTTCCTCATAGGTATCCAGTCGTTTTTCAAAGCTATCTGCTTCGGCGATCGCTTTATCAATATGCTCCATCAACGCCATTACTTGCTTCTCCGAAGCTAAAACGCTTTGTATATTAGCCTGTAAAAAACCAAACGAATATGTTTAAAAGGTGTAAGATTACGTCAGTTAATTACATACACCATCTAAATCGTGCAGTTCTTTAGATAAATTCTCAATAAGTTGCTCAGCATCCTTTACTGCGAAATCACACTCGGAAAATAATTTTCCCAATTCGGTAGCTTCTTTATCTGTAAGAGCCGTAAATTCTTGTGCCTCTTCCTCATCTTCTGTGTCTTGTATGATCTTTTGTTCTGCATGGCGTCCAGCAGCCAACTTTTCTGGAGATTTGTCATTGAGCCATGCACCCGGAACGTTACGGAATTCTGCTCGTTGGCCTCGCACATACTTAAAAATCTGTTTGTACAGCACGGCTAGGAAGTTTTGCCGCTCAAGCAAATTCAACGCATACCATTTATAGGTTTTTTCCACTTGTATATCGAATTCATGTGTCTCGAACTGCTCATTGCGCCCATCCACCCACTTGATTTCCTCCAGTTGCCAGGTACGTTTCTTTTTATATTCACCCTCTCGCTGCTCCGATTGTTTTACTATGCAAACTGTGACCACCGGCACAGGCGGTGGCGTTGTAACGATGCATAAATAACAAGCCCTTTTCTTTTTGAAAGTCTTTGTCACAGTCACCACAGATAACACTCGCTCACCACTGCCATTGAATAGCTCTTTTTGTAGAATGTGTTTGATGTTTGCTAAGGTGGTCAGCATTGTTTACGAAGGGAAACTTAATATTTTATGAAATTAATTCTAAACTTTTATTTAATTGCATCGCAAAAACAAGATAAATTACAAATTCTTTAACTTGACGCCCTATTTGCAAAATTTTATTTGACAGCGTCAACTGCCAAAAACAGCTGATTGGTACAAGCGCAGTGCTGGAAAGCAACATGCTGGAAGTGTTCGAAATTACAATAATTTCTATCATTAAAAAGATTATTTCATTTTTCTGTGCATTAAAATCATTTAACACAAGCTTTAGTTAAAAATGCAATATAAACGAAATTAGGCCAAAATCTTTTCTAACGACCAAAGAACGTAAATCTACCTTCTTTGGTAGGAACGTGCTCGTAGGGTTGGCAGCTCACGAAACCGATTGCGTAGGAAAAGGCCAGAAAAATGGTAGATTAAATAAAAATTCGTAGTAAAAGTACAAATAGGTTATTATTTTAAATTAATAAGCTATTTAAATCAAAATCATAATTTCATTTCATTTGTACTTTTTATGTATTATTTTATATTTGTATCTTTTACAGAGGCGTTATTGCACAACGGTCTAGAGTTGCCATGAGTACGAACGCAGGTATATAAGGCTGCTGCTACAGCGTGGAGTTAGTTAGTTGTAAGTCAGTTGCGAATCAGTAAGCTCAAAGTTAAGTTTTAAAACAGAGATCAATTGTGTTATCAAGTTTTTCAAAGTGTTTTAATTTCCTTAACAAGTATTGTAAATTGTTGTTATTGCATCAACAAGTATTAAAAGTGTTTGTTGTACAATAAAGTTAGGTCAGTGTTATGCAGAAATTTTGTTTGGCAAACTGCGTGCGATTGTTGTTGCAACAAACTCAGAGAGAACGAGTTTGGTAGTTACATACCGCTAAAACAACAACAGAGCGAGTTTGGCGACTTTCACAGCAAACTAATTTTGATTGGACAAACTGTTGTAAAATTAGTGTTGCCATACACAACAATTTTAGGTTATTATTGTTATACAGAAAAATTGCAGAGATACCGAATGGCAGAGAACTGAATTTATACTTTAGGAGCTTCAAAGTTTAGGGCACTGTTAATTGCGTATACAGTATTATTAAAAATATAAAGTTTTGCACGATATGTACATCTGCAATTTTCACTTCGTGTTGGCAATAACCATAAAAAACCCCAATCAATGTGCAATCGTAGGCCAAACTCGACGTAACCACCTCAGAGCAAACTAAGCAGCCGCCATTTGTGTTTGTCTGCATAACACCGACCGTAATTGTACTGGAAATTGATCATCGTGAGCGTTCATTTAACAATCCAGCGATACCAAGCTAGGATTTTGAGAAATTCGTCTATTAAAAAAGGATAATCGTAAGGGGCCTGTCACACCATCAATACGGATCGTGATATTTGGATCACGATCCTGGATCGTGCCGTGTAGCATTGATGGATCGGGATCAATATCACAAGATTTCTAAATATTTTGAAAACCATCAATATGGATCACGATTCAAATATCGCGATCCGTATTAATGGTGTGACAGCCGCCCAACAGTAGGAACCAAAAAATTATGTTCTTCGTTCTTGCATCCCTACTTCGAAGTCAAATGCCAGTGTCAAAAATTCTACATCGAAAACTGAAGTGTCAAATGCTTGCTCAATTTTTCTTGTCGTTTTGTCATTCAACTAGCTTCTGATGTGAGTGGAAATTGATTAAATTGTAAATTTATCAAAATAATAATTTTTATTTTAATATTTTCTTATTTAGCACGAGCTAAACCCTCTACAAACATGTTGGTGCAACACATTCTTAAACAAGGGCTTTTGGTTAAAAATGGTAAGGCGAATAATTCGGTTTAAAAATGTGTCCAATAACCTCTGTTGAAATTACATAACCTTTATCACCGAAGATTTCTAGTAGGAAAATAGTTGTAGATTCTATCTTTTTTAAGAAATTAATATGTGAATGTCTAATTAATATTCTCTTCTTTCAGCTGGAGCTGTTTCACGTGCAGCCTACCACGGTGGTCACCATCAAAAGACTACTTTGAATGATCTGCCTGTGCCTGAGGGCGATTGGAAGGAGCACTACACACGCCAGAACACCAAATACAATGCTTGGTTGATCACGGGTGTTCTTTTCTTGGCTGGCACTATCGGCTTTGTAAGACCATTAGCAAACGATGTTTATTTGCATTGACTAATTTCCTAATTTTACTAAAGGTCAAGACAACCGGAGTTATTGAATTCAACAACAAAGTACCAGTATCGTTGGATTGAGCAGACGTTAGGCTAAATAACTAGAACCCATTAAAATAAGTCTCTATAATAACCGATGAAGGCATAGTCTTTGCTTAAGCAAATGTTATTACATTTCAATTGCGAAGAAATAAAAGTCCATGTGAGATCTAGAGTTCTATATTCAAAGATTTGTATTTTATTTTAATAAACAGGCCCGTCGTCAAGATTGTCATCCTCTTCATTATAGGCTTCACCATTGTCAAAGTAACTAACACCATAGTCGTTCTCATCATCCATCTCTTCGTCTGCCGGCGCTTCCTACATTAGAGAGAATATGACAAAGCTTAAATTTGGGAATGAGCATTTCCAACGTACCTCTTCTTCCTCTTCATGCTCAGAATCTGAAGACGCTTTTGTAATGTCTTTATCATCTTCGTTGCGCTCCTTTTCCTCCAGCACCTTCAAGCGATCGTCTATATTTTTTGGCTTTTTGGCAATAATTTGGTCGCCTCCTGCAATACGACGTTTCTTTTGTGTAATTTGCAATTCAGCGGGCATCATTTGCCAAACAAAGTCGGCTTTTGATTTCGCTTTAGCATTTTCAACCGCGCTCTACAAGATATCCACATATTAAATGTTAGCAAAATAATTAAAATTAAATATCTTACCGCCCATTGATCTGAGTAGCTTTGTAAATTACTGTTGATATTTGCAATTTTAGGGGTGAGGAAATACGGAGAATCACGCATATGATTGAGATATGCTTCCTTCCAGAGTATTTGATAATTTTGTGCCGCTGTTGTCTGTTTAGCACACATTTTAGTATTACTAATATAAGTATGTACTTATGTTTTTATTTACCTCAAGTTTTACTGGTTTGGACATCAATGGTGGAAATGTAGGAGGAGGTGCGGTCTGCACTTGGGGAATATCTTTCCCTATACATCCTAATGTCTGCAACTGCTCTTGAGTGAGCGAACCAGTTTTGCCGCGTCCACGCCCTGCCATGCTGGTCTTTAAGAGGTTTTCTTATATATTTTTTGATTATTAATCACTTTGGTATTTTCAAAGGAAAAATCACAGTGCTTTAAATTGACATCAAAATAAATTAATCGAGTTTAACCTCACTATTTGTTTGTTTTGGTTGTGTATAGGGTTGCCAAAACACAATTCCGGCATTTAGGGCATTCACACGAACTGGTCAGGTTAGGCCGAGTTTTCCGTCCAGTTTGCGCAAAAGTATGAAATGTATATCTATTTAACAACCCTCCGCTCCACCTCACTCACGCACTAAATAATTTAAGCCTTTTAAGATGCAAAATATAAAAAGGTATACCGAACGAGGTAGAATATGCACTCAATTAAATAAAAAGGTTACATATTTATATATTTCAAACTTCAGTGAATTACTAACATAGTTTTATACTGCATACAGATATATTTTAGTAAATATTTAAATGTACATACAAATATAGAATTTATTTATAAAAAATATTGCTTACAATTTGTTCAATATGGGAGCCAATTCATTTGATATATATTAAATAAAATACAATATAAAGTTTAACTTTATACACTACATATAGCTATTATTTTGTTTAGTAATATTATATTGGTTTCAGGGAGGCAATGTTATTGTGTTATAGTTTCATCTAGTGATTATCACCATTCAACTCATTTTGTATTCCTAATTCTAATTCTCCTGTTTCGGTCAGTCCTACTTTCTGCATCAATTCCGAAAGTTTTTGCGCCTTACGATCTTCATTATGCGCAATCACCGTACATAGGTGCTCGGTCAGCAACTCCTTTTTCTCCGCTGCATTATGCAAATCTATTTTTGCTTTCAAAAACTGAGCCTCTATTTTTATATACTGTTTTCTGTAATAAAATATAATTAAGCAAATATAGTCACGCTAACTAATTTCAATCGTACTCGACTTGCGAAAAATATATGCATGCATTGTCAATTTGTTTGCGAAGAATTGAGACGTCGAGTGCCAGATCATCGTCCAATTTGGCAAGTTCCTGCTTGATTTCAGCAATTTTTCGTGTTTCTGCTGCGGTTTTCTGAGAGCTGTAAGGTACATAAATAAAAAAAAATATCATGTTTTGCTCATTAAATACACATTTCTGCTCACTGTAGCTCGATAGCTTTATGTAGTAACTCCTTTTTTTGCTTGTTTTGCTCCTCAACTAATTTGCGTTGCGTTTCGAATTCCCGCAGCGATACCCCTTTAAATGGTGAATCAGTATTGAGCTCCTCCGTTGTCGGTGTGGATTTTTTTGATGAAGGAGCGGGCAGTATGGAAGAGTCATTTGTCGAGGTCGAGGATACATCATTAACAGACTCCGGCAACTTTAGTATCGAGGAATCGTCTAATTCGTTGGTATTTGCTTTGGCAGCATTCGTGCCATTGGTTTTGCGTTCATTTAAAGCTTCGCTACACTTTCGTAGTGGTTGACAGAAGAGCGCCTCCTCAAGTGATTTAGACATGCTGTCATCAAAACTAATTTTATCCAAGATATTACATTCTGCTTCAACATGTTTACTTGCATCGGATTTTTCGTTTAGCATTACCGTTGGCGCTGGTTTAGTCGACTGCGAGCTTGTAATTTTTTTTCTTTGAGATTCAATTGATCGTGACCACTTCTCTGGCATGCGTCTTATACCGCCATGTTGGCCACGAAATGCAGGTTTTACTGTTTATAAAATAAGAATTTAATACCATAAGCATGCGAACATACAAGTTTACATATGTACATAAATGTATACATAGTACTTACCTGCTGCATCCGCTACTGGTTGGCCTCGATTACTTCTGCTTTTGGTGCCTCCGGAAACTTTGTTTATCTCATCTTGACTAAAGCCGTCGAAATTACTCGACATATTTATTAGTTTCTTTAAAAAATAGCTACTAAATTAGTCACTTTTTACAATATTTAATATAGAAATACTTTAATGCAATGCAAACAAGATAGGAATGATCATCAGCGCAAGAATTAAAAAATGCCTACGATTATTTATCAACCAATACAGCAGCGCAAGAAATGTCAAAAACACATCATCAAAAACAATTCGCACACCGTCTTCAAAAGAGTCACAACTCAAAATTTGGCATTTTTCAGATTATGCGTTAAAAATGTACGCAGGGCTTTTATTTACCTTTCAGCAAAAGTTCGAGCAAATCTTTGTTATAATTTGTTAAAAAAAAACCTAAAGTAAAGTCGCCCTTGCCCATATGATTATCATGTGCTAAGAAATAGTTTTTCGCATTTTCTGACAAACGTACTATTTTGAGTTGAGTCTCTTTTGAAGACGGTGTGCGATTGGTGATCTTCGCGCAGTGTTGCCGCTATCGCGTTTTTGAATTTCCTATTAGAATCTTCATTCTACTCGCACAAGAATCATTTAACCCTCAGATCGTGTATGGGCACTAAGGCAAAACTCGAATTTCATAGTAATTTAATATGCACTGTAAATTATGGATATGTACTATGTATATGTGCAGTAGCGGCAGAAATCGTCTGCACTAATCCCTAGTTTTACCTTATTTTTGTAATGTTCTATGAAATGAGTAAATTTTTTAAAGCAGTCTTGAGGTATGCGTGTTTCCTGATTAAGACCATTCTCAAAAATAAAACTATATAACCCCTTTTTCGTATTTTAGTAGTTCGCAATTTGCAACGCCAATTTTAACTTTAACCATTCTGAATAAGTTAACCACGGACCAATAGACAGACAGAATGAGTTAAACATACATACATATGTACCTTTGCCGCATCTTCGTTTCCGTTTCCGTTTTACAACTGTAGGGTTAAAATACCTGGTATAAATGTACTTTGTAATTTTTGAGTTAAAACATTGTTCATGGGTTTTACATACATACATATATACACATATTCATAGGCCTACGACGGCGTTGGATCGCCATCTGTTAACTCCATTATTTGTAGATCATCTTTTGGGGTAAAATTTGGCGAAAATTGGACGAGCTGACCAGTACTAAACGTTGAGTTTAAATAAATTTTCGTTTCCTGGCAGGATTGTCAATATATCATGAAAATATTTTATTATTTTAAATTTTGAATTCTTAATTCTTAATTTTTTAATAGAAAATTTTAAGTTTGCATTTTGGAGACTTTTATTTAATGAGTTTTTAAAACTACTTATCGTTACCTTAATGAAAAAGGGTCCAACGGACTTTTTGAAGTAGTTTTATACAATATAACGAATTTAAAAAAAAAAATGGTGCAGCGCGCAATCACTTAATCCTAAATCAAATAAAGTCTTTCTGAAAAAATTGCAAATGCAGAAATTTATTTTCGTTAAGAGTTTCCTTCTACTGCAATTTAAGGATTTCTTTATAGCATCCACTTTATTTTAAAATCGTCACGCGTAACTCTTTGCGCAATTCCTCTATATCTTGTTCCCAGCGCTCTTCAAAATACACCGGCATCAATGGTTTCATTTGTCTGCCATTATTTAAAGCCCAAGGTAGATAACGTGACACATATTCCTTTCGTTGTCTACAATTGAAAATGAAAACAATATCCATAAGTATTTACATATGTATGTATTTACACCCTTATATGTATGTACACCTGCGTTCAACTAATTAGAAACGAAATTCAAAATTATATTTGCAAATTAGGTTTAGTTTTTTTTAATAATTTTCATTTAAAATATAATTCAATCTGTAACAGAAACCACAGTAATGAAAGTTTCAAAGCTTGCAAAAATTACAAAAATAAAATTAATCAAACTTCAAAAATTCGTCATCAAAATTTCCAAATTTTTAATCAAATTACTAAGAAAATTTTAGGGTATGCAGTACTGTAGCCCATTCAATTTTTTTTGTGGAGGGTCTTGCGGATTTTTTTCATATAAATAAAAGTTTTGATCATGTGTTACATGGAAGAAAATGCGCAACACCCTCCACGACAAAAAAATTCTAAAAAATCAACGGTAATTTTTAACGACTTGAGACGTGCACTTTCTTAGACTACAATTGAATGGGCTACAGAGCTGCATACCCGAAAATTTTCTAAACCTTTTGATTAAAAATGTGGAAATTTTGATGGTGATTTTTTGAAGTTTGATTAATTTTTTTTTTGCAGTTTTCGCAAGCTTTGAAACTTTTATTATTATGGTTTCTGTTACAGATCAAATTATATTTTAAATGAAGATTATTAAAAACAAAAAAATAAACATAATTTGCAAACAATATCATTTTGAATTTCGTTTTTAATTAGTTGAACGCAGGTGTATGCATGTTAATGCATATGAATACATAAGCAGGCACTTATTTAGCATAATTTCACTCACTTGGGACGCAGTCGCATCGCGCCAAATATTGCACCACCATAGCACATAGGCAAACCATTATTCAAAGCCTCCACCCATTTGACGGCCACTTCGCCCAACATATTTGTCGGCATTCCCAGCACTGTATGCGCCAAATCATGACATTCGCGATAACGTGTCATTACGTAGGCCAACATCGGATCATTGACAAAACGTACAGCCATGCGCGAATCGGGTGTAACTTGCTGTAAATGTATGTATATATAAAATTTTATTTTACTAAGGGCCAGTTTTTTGGTGCCAGTTTAAGCTAAGTTCAGGTAAACTCTGTTCACATTTACCAGCTCGCTGACATTTGATTGGCTAATCTTAGTTTAAACCAACTAGCTCGAGTGTTGAAAATAAGCCTTAACCACAGTCAGTCACAAAATGTGTACTGAAAAATTGGCCCTTAGAATACCCATAAGGGCTCACTTTACTTACATTATCATCCAAGAACCTGACATAAGCACGTCCGAGTGTATTCTCTGGCAAAGTACGTAATCGCTCGATATCAACTGTGCGTGTGTTAATGCGTGGCTTGTGTTCCAGTAAGCGCTTGCCTTCCGCTGTGGCCTGCATTGTCTGTAAGATATTCTGTAAAGCTGCTTCCCCTGTGGTTTCGCCAAGAGCGGCAATCATGTCGTGTCTGAAATATTGGAAAAGTTGTATTTTTTTAATAAAAAAAGAAAGTCCTCGTATATTAAATATATGTATGTTTACCTTCGTGGATCTACCAGCGCCGCTATAGATGATCCCACACCGAGTAATAGCTTTTGGAATGGCGACATTTCTATGCGATTTTGGAGAAACTCTTTTGTAAACTCATCCAGCAGTGTTTCATTGATTGGTGGACTTTCCGATTTCTCGGTACCGGTAGCATTACTCTCAGCTGCAAATGTCGTGGCATAACGATGTAGCTGGGGGCTTCTAAGGAGCAATTGTGTGCGTACGCGTTGTAGCATTTTTAGAAGTTGGTAGATCTGCAAAGGGTAAGCTATGTGCTTCTTTGAGTTATTGCATATCGACGGCTGAGTGAAAGATCGACCTATCTCGGCAACCGGTTCGAAAACGCCCTATCTCAGAAAACTTTTCAACAACACCCTACTTCAGAATTTTGTTGAAGAACGCCCTATCTGAGAAAAATTTTCACGTACGCCCTATCTCAGAATTTGGTTCAAAAACACCCTATCCCAGCTGAAAATGTACTGCAAATATTTTGAAATAGGGCGTTTTTGAACCGAATTCTGAAATAGGGGGTATTTAAAAAGTTTTCTGAGATGGGGCTTTTCTCAATCAAATTCTGAAATGGGGCGTTTTTGAAAAGTTGTCTGAGAGAAGGCGTTTTCGAACTGGATGCCGAGATAGGTCGATCTTTCACTCAGCCATCGATATAACGTTGTAATATAGTAGTTATAAGATTCTTGCATTCTGAAATATTTCAAGAAACAAAGGTATTGATAATAATAACAATAATAAGAGATTGGCGCTTACACATATGTTAGTGTTTGGCCGAGCTTCTCCTCCGACTTGTGGCGTGCGCCTTGATGTTGTCACACAAAGCGGAGGGACCTACAGTTTTACGCCGACTCCGAACGGCGATTGTATTTTTATGAGAAGCTGTTTTTCATGGCAGAAATACACTCGGCGGTTTGCCATTGCCTGCCGAGGGACGACCGCTGTTAAGAAAAAACCTTTTTTCTATATTTTTTGCGATGTTGCTTTGACCAGGGCTTGAACTCAGGTGCTGATGAGTGAAAGCGCGTACTGCTTACCACTACACCACAGCGGCCATCACAGTCACATATTAATATAAAATTTTACACTTCGAGACCCTTGTGGCACACCTAAATATTCAAATATCAAAGTAAAATTTTACGTACACAATATATGTATATGTAGGTAAAAACGAACAAAATAAAATACGTTCCCGAAAAAATGGCACAAGTTAAATTTTTAAGGGACACCCTAATGTATGTACATACATATGTATGTATACATAAAACGTGTTTGAAGATTATAGATATTGATAGCGTTTTTTATCAATAAACAAAAATATCACTTTGTGATGATTAACACCTGTTCATCCATAACGTGATTACACATTAATAAATACATACATACATACATATGTAGGGACAGTCAAACAAATTAGACTCTTTTCTCCACAACAAATTAACCATAACATATTTATGAAAGAGCGCATCATGGTGATCATTTTCGCGGAACAAAGTAGCGTCCGGCACGTCGGAGTTGTATTTTATTGGCACCCAAAGGTTAGGGAATCATAACGAGTACTTGCACCGCAAGCTCAAAATCTTCGAAAACGATCAGCATGATGCCAAGTATATCGCAGCTATACTGTTACAAAAATACTGTTGGGTAGTGTAGTTATATGTACACGTATACTTTTACTTCCTTCTTTCCGCTTTTTTTTAATACCATAACTAATTTTGATTAACACTACTGTGGATTTTCGTAAAAATACGTTTTTGAATTAAGTGGGTTTTGTTTTATTAAAAATAAATTCTGAGCTTTCATAGAAAAAGTTAATAAAGAGATAAACCTTGGTACCGAATGTTTGATGGGAATTTTAAATGATACACTTAAGGCCAGAAATTCTGTGATTTGAAGATACAAAGGCTTCAGTCGAGTTAAGTTGTTTCAACACAGTTTTACAGATTGTGTACAGTAGGAGTTTGTATATGCATACATATGTATGTATAAATGTAAGCATGCAAACACTTTCACAGAAGCCATCAATCTAGCAACCTCACTGTTTTTTTTACCATTGATTAGTCAACACCTGTTTTGAGCAATCATTTTAATATGTAAGTGTTTATTTTTGTTTATAATGCAACGAAGGCCAATAGCACAATATTAAAATTGTGCAGAAATCAAATACATACTGCTTAAACATATTTTTAAAGGTATTTTGATGTAAGACCCTATAGGAAAGTTTAAAACAAAATTTCACAGTAGAAAAAAAAAGCTTTTAAAAGACTTGCGAGGCTGCTCGAATGATAGCAAAAAACCTGCAGATTTTCCGAAAGGATCGAAAAACCATTAAATACAAAGATTTTTATTCATAGCACATTGCAAAATAGCTGTTTTTTGACATTTACCCTTTAAATCAAGAATATATAATTTTTTTTCGATAAAAAATAATCGCTATTTTTGAATTCTAATTTTTTCGATAGTTTTTGACCTATAACGGAAGACTTCATTTTAAATCCTTTATGATCTAAAAAAATCAAACTGAAAATTTACAACAAAAATTACAATTTTTTGATCGAAAAAATAAAAATCATAAAATAACATTTAAATTTGATGGGAAAAATATAAATCCAGTTTTAATCCAGTGTTAAAAATTTGCAAAGTTTTTAAAGTTAACATTTTTTGTTATTTTTTCATAAATATATAGTTCATGCTTTAGCCAAAACCATATAAATTATATTTTCAAAATTTATACAGAGCTTAAATTTAACAAATTTCAAAAAATATTAAAAATCAACGCTAAAAACTTGCACTTTATTATACTAAAATTGAATGGCATACCGAAAAAAATCAGATTAAAAAGTTGAAATTTTAATGAAAATTTTTTAAATTTTTCTAAGCTCTGTATAAAGTTTGAAAGTTTGATTTACATGGTTTTGGTTAAAGCACGAACCATATTTTTATGAAAAGATAACAAAAAAATTTTAACTTTAAAAACCTTGAAAATTTTTAACAAAAATCACCGTGTACTCATTTTTGTTCCCCACTGTATGTATGTATGTGTTTCCGTCTGTCTTCTTTTGGTATACCAACAGCGTGAATTGCTCAAACTTTGATTGTGTTTTCCCACAAAATTTAAATTTTGATATAATTCTGCATATTATTAAACGTGCGCGAAACATATCGATGTTTTTGTCTTTGTATTAAAAAAATGTTATTGGCGAATGTAGATATCACCGAAAATTGTATAAATGCTACCAAAAAAAATTGCCTTGCAAAAATAGTTTAAACTCAGTGGTATACGGCGAAATTTTTTGTTCTCTTGCAAGGTGGTACGTTCTAATGTTGGTACATATGTATGTTCTTTGTTTACTTTAAGAAAAAATTGATTTACGGTAAGACAAATTATTCGTCAATAAGTCGAGAGTTTGAAGGTTAACGGAGGCGCCACATCTTAGTAATTAGTATCCTGCAGGAAATGGGGCTAGTTTGTAGCTAACTTTTAAGTACCCCGCAGTCGACTAGACGTAACTTTTCAATTGGTTATTTACTTCGACCCTAACTAGCTACTTTTGAAGGGCGATGCCTGCAAAAAAGTGAGAGCTGGTTTCACCTGCATTACAACTACTTTTGGACATGAAATATCAATAAAAAATTACGTAATTTTTTAAGCTGCTTACATGTTTATTTATCAACTTTATTTAACATTACATATTTGTTAATTTGTTTACATATTCTGCTGTAGGTGGTCCTACATATATTCAAATTCCGTTAGACATAATAAAAAAATTATAAAATGAAATTTCGATCTTCCAAGTAATTTTAAACGATATTTAAATAGAAACTCACTTCAAGTTAAGTTTTTCATTGTAGGGTTATTGTACCTTATTCTTTTTTGCCTTTGTAATTTTTGTTGATTCAATTTATTGTTCCTTAATTTTTATTGTTATCAAAAAACAAATTTTTAAAAAATTGTTATAAAAAAAATAAAAATTAAATAATAAAAATTATTAAAACTTAAAAATATTTATACTTAAAGTTAAACCTAAATCTAAATATCGAACACGACAGTCATCTTTAGTAAAACAACAGATTTGTAAAATAATAGCTAGAGAAAATACCGCCTACCAAGTCAATGCCTTCACAGAAAGACCGTGTTTTCCCACTCATATAAATTTTGAGTGCCGTAAGCAGTGTGACCAGGTCACCCTTTTTGAGGCTAGATATAGATCTGACTTCGTGGCTTTTTTCTGGCTCTTTTTTACTTAAAATATCCATAATAAAATTCGGACCGGAACTATAAAAATAAATACCTAAGCTTACTAAAAAACTTTAATACTTCTAAAACTACTATTTACCGTTGAAATATTACAATAACAGTGCAAAGGTCCATTTCTTTGAGCAAATACTTTCCTAGCTTTTTAAAAAATAATACTAAGAAATTTGCTTGAAACCGTATTTTTACAATTCGATTTGTTGGCGTACTACTTGTGTACGCTGATGTATAAAATATTTAAATATTTGCATTTTTCTTATACTAAACTAAACTTTTCTCTGGATATATATATGTGTTTTGATGAGAATTATTTAAAAAGTTATTTACAGAAAATCGGCTTTGCAGAGCTTGTCGAGTTTTTAAAGAATGAATGTATTGACTTCTTTTTAACTTAAATTTTGAGAGCGTATAACTTTCTCCATCCTTCGCTTTTTGCGATCATCTGGTCACACTGGCCGTAAGATAGGAAAAGGCATCGCCGATATGTATGTATGTATGTCTACAATTTTCTATTTTTAATTTAAATAAAATATAGCACAATTATTCGGGTTTCTGATTAATCAGGTTAAGATTAATCAGTTTTCTGATTAAAAAAACTGATTAGATTCTGCTTAACTAAAATGTAATTAATCGAGAAAGTTGTCACTTGGATTAATCAAAAATGTTTATTCTTTGATCAATTAATCAATCAAATTTCGATGAACTGATTAATAGCAGATCTCTAGGAAAATCGGTATTCACTTAAATTGCTGGTGAAACTGAGAGTAAGTAAATACTTTTTTTCAGATTATCTTAAGAATAGAATACAACGCAATACCTGTTCGACTTCATTTTAAAGGCACTGTATGTGTGTAGTTCAATTGACGATGCCTAACAATAAAAGGAAATGACTTGGCTTCTCTATGCCATGAGATTATTTACACGCGCAATGAACGCAAATCATGCAAGTTATATATAATAACAAGTAAAAAAGTCTAAGTTCGGGCGGAGCCGAAAATTAAATA